CCCCCAAAACCCCAAAACCCCAAAACCCCAAGGCGTCTGAACCAACTTGAAATAAATAATTACCCGGGTTTGGAGAAAAATGGAAAAGATTGGAGGTTTAGTGGGAAGAGGGGTTAGGAATTAGAGATATGGGGATGGGGTGCTTTTAAGAAGTCTTTGGGGAAGATTTGGCGGTAAGATGGGTCGTTTAGGGGGATGTTGGGGGTTTTGATAGGGATTGAGGGGGTGTATTTCTTGACGACTCCTTCTCGGAATTGTCTATCGAATTCTGCTTCGTTTAGTCCGGCTAAGATTCTAGGCTTTCTGGAATCAATGGTGTTGGAATTATTCCTGATTTCTTCTAGTTTTTTCAAGTGGTTCTTGATGAATTCTTTGCGTCTTTCATGCTCTATTTCATCTGGTGTTTTCTTTCTGCATTTCTTCTTGATGAAAGTGCAAAAATCTTTGATTTTGAGAGGGAAAATGACAGCCCAGTTTATGAGAAAGAAAACTATCAATCATCCACTGGCAATAAACCCAAACAGTTGGATTGTATTAGGGTCTCCAGGGCTTTTGAAAGCGAAAAAGATCAATGATAGTACAAGAAGGAAGATTTCATTGACTCAGCATAGGAAGTTCGTGGCTTGGCACTTATATGGTTTGTATATTAGCTGGTACTTTCAGACAGAGTAAAATAAAACCACCACTCAGATCAGTTGAAGAAGATTCGTTTGTCTGAGACAGACGATCACACCAGCTAGAAGCATTCTTCTGATGACGAAATAAGAGTAATATTGCAGACACTCTGGCTTTGAAGTTTTGAACTCTGAAAATAAGAAGCAATGTCTCTCAAATTTTTCAGGATAAATTTTGATAGCTGAGTAATAGTAAGCAGGAAATGCAGTCGCATAGATTGCCACCAGAATCATAAATCAGAGCAAGCATAGAGCAAAGATGTAAGACGATATTCCGATAGCTCCTTCAGCCTTACCATAGAAGATGTTGATCATAATGGACACAGATAAATTCATCGACATTTCAACTATAAGCCTTGTTCATGACTCATACCTTAAAGCAGAGTCCATCTTTTTGATTTTCTTGGCAAACCAGGTTGACTTTTTCTTGAGACAGCTGTACAGAAGATAGATAAACAGCACGAGAAGGCCAAGAAAGAGCAATAAGAAGATTTTGTCAAGAGAATTTATCAGGAAGCTTGTAGATGAGAACCCAAGCTCTTCAAATCCAGGACTGATCGGAGCACTTATTATGCTAATGCTCTCTAGAGCAAAAGATGAAAGCATCTCTGTCACTGGGTTATCAAAATTAGAATATTTTAGGTAACTGAACATAGCTGAAAGGTTTGCTGGAAAGTATAGATTCAGAAGTCCCAGTATGAACACAATTTGTAGAGTGTTTGCAAGACTCCACATCAGTTCCATTGAACCTCCAGTCAGAAGACTGATACTCAATGAAATAGCAAATGAGAATATGAACGTGTAAGAAGTTCCGGAGCCAGCAGCTTGAGCCTGTTCAGAAGCTTCTATGGTGTTGAATCCATATCTGTACTCATATTCTGTAGCAATTGGAATTAAGTTTGAACTTTTGAACGATGTTATTTTTAACAACTTTACAACTAATATTTCACCAGCACCTCCAATAATTGCTGGTGACACACTGTACTTGAGCTTAATTTGGGTATCTGATTGTAGAACTGCATTTCATTGAAGCGTGTAATCTCCAGAAGGCCCATAGAACTCTCAACCAATATCTTCTTCAGTAAACGAAACATTTTTCATGGTGTCATTGAAAGTGTAAGATATTTCTTTGAGTTGCGTATTATGAGAGTTTGTAGTAATGATCGGAGGAAAGTGCTCCGAAACGCATACATCAACTCCTGACCCATCAGGGTTTCATATATAATTAAATTCTCTTTTTCATTCATTGTCACATCCGTCAAAACTTAGAGAGTTGTTGTCATCACACTCTTCACCAAAGTCTCTGACACCATTTCCACAATGGTGGATTCAGTAGCTTGGACTCGTAGCACTATGAGTGCAAGTGTAGTCAGTCTCAATATTACAGTTGCTATCTCAGCCATCTCCATTGATATTGTTATTGTCATCTCATTGCTCATCAGGGGGATTGTAAACTCCACTTCCTCATTTGAGTCTGCAATAGCTTTTGTTGAGATCAGTGATTACTCAAAAGTAGTCGTCTTCAACAGTACATTGATCTGTGCATCCATCTCCGTTGGCGAGATTGCCATCGTCTCAAGGCATTGTTTGAGGGCTTGAAGAGATATAGCCATCTCCTCAGTCTTCGTAGCAGTAGTCGCCATATGGACTGTAATAATCTGGGCATATCTTCGAAACTTGTGTATAGTTGTATCTGATATATCTCCTGGAGTAGTAACTATAATATCCTCCGGTTAAAATCTGAGTCTCTGACCATTGTCAGACCTCATTCGGTGTCACAAGATCTCCTAAATATTATTCTTTGCAGCTTACTGCAAACATCAGTGCTTGTATTTGAAGCTGGATACGGACTATAGTTCTGAGAGAATTCAAATTTCACATCTCCAGCTTCTTGATAGAGCCCATAATCAAGCTCAACAGATTGGCTCGTAAGATAAGACTTAAAGAGCTTAATATTGCTGATAATAATCCTATTACTTAGAATTCTGAGAAAAATTGTTGGTTCCAGAATCACATCAGATATAACCGTACAATTTTGATACAAGATAGGGGTTCCAACAGAGTCTGAAGAGTTATGGATCGGCTTGTGATAATATCAAATCTAGAACAAAGTAAGCTTGATAAAAGTCTTAAAACATACTTCTTGGCTTGTTGAGCTCAGAACTCTCACAGTGAGGATGAACTTAGTCCAAAGATTTCTTGGTAATCTATGGTATGTATCATAATCTTCTATAGAATCAGTGTCAATACATTTTCTTGGAAAACTCTAGTGTGAATTTTAAACTTATGAACAATAAAAGTAATAATATTTCTCTGAAATTAATGCTTATTTACCTCCAGCAATTTCAGTGTAACCATCACCTATAATAATGGTCTGACCGACAACATCATCAGTGGAGTCTAAAAATTTAGTTAAAGCTACATCTTAATAATGTAGGTGAGACCCTTAATATTGGGAGTTCTTTGAGAAAACTTATAAATAAGGCATGATCATAAACTTACTGAGGAAGAACAGCAACATTCTTCAATAAGATTCGTATCAAAACACATCTGTTTCAAAAGTGTACTTCGTAGCGCTATCAAACTGAATCAAGTCTGTCTCATAGACTGCAGTGTAATAGTATGTGATCCACCCTAAGTTGGTCACTAAGGTCGGAGTAGTTGCTGTTTCGATTTCTTTTATGTAAATGCTCGTGTTCCTAAATTTGATCAGTACGAACAGGACGTTAAGTGATTTATCAACACAGTTTTCTAAAGTTGAAGAAACAGGAAATTTGGAATAATCACATACGATTACATAAAATACAAGCATATCTATTGACCATCTAGCATGTAGTCTAAAGCTTGCAAGCTTACGAGAGTAATATATTTGTTGATAAAATAATTATCAACATACTTCATAATTTAAAAATAATGAACTTACGTTAGGATTCCTCCTTTATTGACTAGTGCAAGACTATACAGTTCAAACCTAACCCTTACTTCCGCACAGTGTTTCCATAGTGTTCATTCTGAACACTTGAAGTTAAGTCGAAATATAGGTGGTACAAATCTTTGGCATAACTTATGAAGTCCTGACGAGTTCCAGTTCGAGCAGGCTCAATAAAGTTGCTGATCTGTAATCTGTAAATAAGCCCTGAAAATCTATTCACACGACTTGAACCGTTGTAAATGAATCCAATGCTATATGTAGATTGGATATTCTGATGAGAAGTTGATGATGTTGATATATCTACAACCTGGGGGGCTCCAGAGTCATCCCAGAACTCAACTTGGATATCTGAACTTGTTGTTGGTGCAAAAGAAGCTCCTCGAGCAAGAAATTTATAGGAAAAATAATGCCAAGATGAATTGCTTGCAATAGTTTGTGTAGTATATCTTGTAAATCTTGAGCTTCCAGCATATCGACAATCGAAATGGATATAGAAGTCATCTGTGTTTCTCTCGATTCTTCCTCAACAGGTGATGGTAATTATAAAGACGCTGAGATGCTAGTATAAATCCCTTGTAAAGGAAGGCAGAACATCGTGACGCCAGTGACAGCATCGTTTCTGTCGAGGTAGATCCAGGCGCTGATGGTGTAAGGGTACTGAGTGTCTGTAGGGTGAGGGGTGATGGACCCGGTGATGGTCACTAGGTTGTTATTGTCGATACGGAGGAAGCCTCCGTCAGGGTCGTGGATTTGGGCATTGTCTAAGGTGAGTGTTAAGCCGCCGTCTGTGTAGGTAAGGCCAGAGAAAGATGTGCTTGAGAAGTTGAAGTTTGTGGTAGTGGTTTGGAGGTCTCTTTTCAATCCTTCACTTGCCAATGTAGTCATTACCATTCTTCAAATAACAATAACCAGCCATACACATCTGAAGGTTGGTGAGAGATTTGACATTTTGGAGATTTTTATAAATTTATTAAAGGAGGGTGGGTTTTCAATAGGTTTGGAAGCAGGTGGGGTTTTGGGGTTTTGGGGTTTTGGGG